TTCCGACTTCCATGGAGTTCTGCAAAATATTGTACTTTTGTACTTCGCTGCGATTTGTTTTTGGAATTGAGGTGCTTTTCTGACATTTAACGAATTTTTCTGAAGATATCACATTTGTGTGAAACTGTGAAACTTTCTGTCGAATTCCTGCAAATATCTTTAAAGTTCTGTAAAGTTTCCTTAAGCTCCGTAGCTCTATTCCCAAGATCTACAAAAAAAACTTGAGGCTCAATAAATTTCTCAGTAGATCTGCAAACTTCTCTGATGTTTTGTAAATTCCTCTAGGGTTACCCTGAAGATTTGAAAATTTCCTTGAAGATTACCTAAAGTTGTCAAAATTTATCTGAAAAAATATATGAGCTTCTTTGAAGTTTTAAATGTCTCTCTCAAGATCTACAAATTTTCCTGAAATCGTGTATATATATTTTTTTTTAATCGCCGAGCTTCCCTGAAGTTCTGCAATTTTTACTGAAGATCCATTAACATTTCTGAGATTCTTGTTATTTTTTCAAAAGTCCTGTAATTTTTTTTCAAAGTTCTGTAGCTTTGTTCTGAAGATGTACGAACTTTTCTGATGTTGAATAATGTTTCGAGGATCTTCAAACTTCTGTGAAATACTTTATATTTCACTGTAGATTCTTGGACTTGTCTGAAGTTATGCGAATTTCCCTGAAGATTTGTAAAATTTCGCTTATAGTTTTATAAATTGATTTGAAATTATTTTTGCTTGCTTGAAGTTTTGAAAATTTCTTTGAACATTTATCTGAAGATCTACGACCTCTCTTGTGATTTTGTTTTTATGAATTTCTGTTAATAACTTTTAATTTGTTTGTAGTTCTGTTCTCAAGATCTACGAACTACCCTGAAGCTCAACAAATTTCTCAGTAGATCTCCGACCCTCTCTGAAGCTCAAAAAGAAATTCTATGTTGGGTCTCAGACCTGCTGTCTGGCATGCTTATTCTTATACAATACATGCTTCGTATGCTTCCTTTTGACGGTTGCCAGTCTCTCTTTTTCGGCTGTTTCCTTTTTACGACGATTTTGATCCTCCACATACAAATCAGCGAAGAGCGAGCGTGACAAGACTCTCTGAATGAACTTGTCTCGTTCGCACACGTTGTCTTAGCTGTCAGATGCTTGTCAAGTTCAGTGTCCTTAAGAAACGTTTCGAGAAACTGAACGAAAAACTTCTTTTGAATTACGAATGAAGTGATAATTGGAAAATTCCCTGAATATTCCAGGTTTTTCCAGAACAAATAAAATTCCCGGTTTTCCAGGTTTTTCCAGGTAATAGACACCCTGTAAAAGGAATTGGCAGCTTCCACCACCATTTAGTGAGCTACCGTCATTAAGAAGCTGATTCAAAAAGAAGAAAGATCCGGTACCTACATCACGATCCAATGGAAGGCGTAGCAGGATCTAATGTTGGAGGAAATGAAAATGAAAGGTTGAAGGACTACAATCAACCGGTGGAAACTAACGATTTAAAATTGGCTTACTACTTGACTAGCCTATTGGTCCCAAACAAATCTTTTAACGTACCCCATTCTAGTCAAAATTCTAGTACTACACTATGTTTGTTTTGATTCACTACACGCTTATTCTGGTCAACTCCAAATTGAGTCGAATGTATTCATCTCAGCGGCAAGTATGGCTACTCAAAATTGAGTAGCCTTATGTTGACTCACTTTTGAGTAAACTACGTTCTCACGTAGACTGAGTCAAATCCACTCGCCGGTATTTTCAGTTGCGGGGAGGGTTTTTATTTTGAGTTTTATTCAAGGAAATGGGAATTGCCTGCTTCGGATTCATTCTACCGGAGCAAAAAACGGTTCAACACCGTTTCCCTAAGCAATTGGTACTTACCTGAAGGCATTTCAGCCGCTTTAGAAAAACATTTTCTATAAGGTTTCCTCCTACATGACTGGTATTTTTTCCAAGTCCAGGATTTTGCTGACTGAGTGGCTTTTACTCAGTTTGACATTTCTCGTTTACTCAATTTTTGACAACTCGATACATCGGACGAAAGTGAGTACGATCGACTCACCTGGTGAGTAAGCAAAAGTTAGCGTGTATGAAAGTTTGACAGATAAAATGAGGGGTTCGTGGATTTTCCTATGTTTCGAGGGGTGCATCGATTAGCTTGGGACCGAAGATAGTACCAGAGCTGAGCAGAGCCAAACACTTGAGCACGTTTCTTCGGGACCTTCTAGTGTTAGAGTTACCTCTATGCTACAATCCCAAACGGTAAGTCTTGATAAAGGATATATCTAGACTAACATTTGAAAGGGGCGTAAGAGCCAAAATGTAAACAAACCATATTTTGCCACATATAGAGAGAATAGTTCACAAACTACTCGATAAACACGAAAAAGTAGAAGAAAATATCACTTCAAATCATCAAAAACGTTTCTTCTTACATGGCGTATTTCCAACTTTCAACTCTATGATGGATCTGGTTGTTACGCCTTGGACCAGAACTACGAATTATATCGTTTTATTATGCCAAACCTATTGATTCTGTAGTATCTAGTCACGCCCGATTCATTTGAAATGCATCCGATTGATAGTTCACGTGTAAACATCGAACAAAAAGAAGACCAAAAAATCTCCGGGCGTAATTCCATTCTCACAAAATTTGCGAACGAAGAACCAAGGCGGAACAACAAACAAAAAATCCCGAGGGTGTACTTCCACGGCGTATCACCAGTGTTGGCAGTTCAAAGGGTGGAAGATCCGGGGGGTAACAACATGTATGAAATTATCAGGGCGTATAATGTTTTCTTCTCGATTTCACGTCAAAGAAATTTTTTGAGTTTTTAGTGATGCATGATGATAGATTACACTATTAACTATATGTTAAGCTTATAAAATCATCCAGAAAATGGAAAGTCGTGAAATAGGATTAATTTTTAGGTCATCAAAATTCAGAAGCGATTTTCTCGATATGGTCATTTTGGAATTACGCCCTTTTCAAATGTTAGTCTAGATATTTCCATTTTAGATGTTGTCAGAACATGAAACCACCGGATAGTGATCCTCTGTATGCTTTAACAATTCTTGGAATCGACCGACCTCTTCCAGAGAATTTTTTTGTTATGTCTTTTCTCGATTCATATCAAGCTATGTTCTCATCCGTGTATATTGCAACAAAGCAGGCAAGCAATATATCATGCGGACATCTGGCTCCGTATTCGCGGGAAATATTTAGTTAAGCCATGAACCCGCATGCAAAACTTATGAATTTGATCGTGTCTGATCTATTCTGGACAAATTATTTTTATCTAGATAAAAAAATCCTATGGTTTTGACTATTCGAATCACTGCACATTTAAATCGGCTGTTTACAACTTTCGGTCAAGTCAGAATTAAGTGCCATGTCGGTTTGTCGGGTGGATTTCATGCTATATTCATACTCGAGTCGGTTGAAAAATACACTTAATCTTCTAGTGTACTTGATATCTATCCATTGCAAGCAATATTTTGATAATTGTTTGTTTTGAGAGTTGGTGCACAGGTAGATTGAGGTTAAGGAAAAACCACTGAGTATAAGATTAGGCCCGCCCACCAACGTCCAGGTTAAAAACTAGCCAAGGGGAGGGACCCAAATCTAGGTGATTGTTGGTTTGAAAAGCCATTCAGGTCTCCGAATGTTGGCAGTCAGGTCGGAGTTGGAAGCATTTTAGTAGGATTCGATGCATCGAATATGCCTACGATTCCGACCCGACTCCAAAGTTCTGCTGCAAACAGAGATACAATGTGAGAGAGCCGGAATAGCGGAGGTGAACCGATTGAACAAGATGGACCCAAGGATTCATCCTTGAGGTACACCGGCACAGATGTTGAAGACATCTGATGCGAATCCATACAGAGATTTTTAATGTGCTATCCTAGAAATAATTTCAAGCTGCATTAGGTCCTAAGTAACATTGACAGATTTCCTTCATCGACTTTCTCTTTGTATCTCCATGAATGATATGCCCAGGCATTTTCAGCACACAGTTCGATACAAGAAGCTTTTATCTAACATCTAATACGGCAAACACAACACCAAACGGTTATGTGCTCAAGCTATTAACGAAAGAGAAAATCGTCGAATAGAATCGACCAATGTTACTTAGGACCTAATGCAATATTCAGCATGATTTATGATGATCTTCACGAATAAAATGGAAAGACCGTATCTGTTACTTGTACACCATTGTCAACCGTACGCTTTTTCAACATCTAACAATGCCATGTTTGATCTGAAAATATTTTTCACACGAATCAGTTAATCTACTAACTCGAAAAACCAGGAAAATAAGAAATTCTCAGAGAATTTTGATTTCCCTGGAAAAATCTGAAATCCTCAGTGAATTCTAACATTATCTTACCAAGTCTTCAGTTACCGAAACATGAGTATGTTCGGAACCGAAATTGACTGTTAATTTCAGGATATTGATAAAGTTTAAAGTTTTAATAAAGTAGACAAACTATCTCGTGGTCCTAACTTTTAACTTTGCCTGACCCAAGGTACGACAACCTGCTGCACATTGCAATGTTACGCCAATCAACCTAGCTCGTGGCTGCTTGTCTCCAAGCAGCTGTGTAGCACGCACGTCAAACAAATATGTAAATAGACAGAATAACTTTTTTTTTCTATTCTACCAATAGTCATTCGTTCGATCGAACTGGGTTTCCGTGAACAATTCAACACCTGTTCATCGTACAAAAAATTCTTTTGCTCTGCTGCTGTCCCTACTGCTCCGCTATTTTCTAGCACAATACTCGCAAAGAAAAGACAAGGCAAAAGAGAAAAGAAAACTCACACCACGCGGGAAGAGAAAAAAACAGCACATGCCAGCCAGTAAACTACATCCCCTTCCTTACATCGCGAGCACTATCATCACCCAACAGCAAGAGCAGCAGCAGAAGAGCAGATAAAGGAATATCCTCCATCGCCATCCCCACGATCCCCACCCAGGCATCGTAAAAGTTGATTGAAGTGAAAACTTACAATTTTCCTAGTTGTATCTTGTTATCCGCAGTCACTGTCGTCCACGTTTCCTGCTGCTCCGTCTCGAATCCTTTTGCCCCACCCCTTGATACCCCACACTCGCACTCGATCTCTCGCCCTCTTGCTCTTTTGCTTCCACTAATGCAAAATCATTTATGGCTCTCTCTCTCTCTTTCTCTCTCTCGTGCTTCACTTTTGTCACCGATTTTCCTCCTTTTCTCGATTTTCTCTTCTCTTGAAATTTTTAAACAATTTTCTTCTCGGGCACACAAACACACTGATTGATTAATGCTTCAACCACGAATGCGCGAGACACTCGGCCGCGGTCGCCCGGTTCTTCGGATCGTAGCTCAACATCGGCGTAAGGAAATCACTAAACTCGATCGCATCCTCCAGGTTCCACTCGTACTTTTCCCGCAGAACCTCCACCAGACCCCACGGTTTCAGACCGGTGATGTTCCGCAGTTCGCCCTTGGAGTTGAATGCATGGTTGGACATCCGTCCGGACAGGGCAATCCGCTTCGGGATGGGTCCGAGCAGTTCGATAATGTGAGCGATGTGATCGTCATCACGACAGTAGTTATCGCCGGAGTGCGGCTCAAACAGGTAATCTCCGGTGGCCATCTCGAATGCCATGCAGGCCGTGCTCCAGATGTCGGCCGAAGTGTTGTAACCCGAACCGATGATCACTTCCAGGGACCGATACTGGCGAGTCTGGATGTCCTCGGTGAAGTGCTTGTCGACCCAACACGCATTACCCAGATCGGCGATCTTGACCTCAACGTCGCACACTTCGAATGCCGCGTCCTTGCGTTCTTTCACCCGGGACAGGATCCGACGCATCGAAGCGCTAATGTCCAACTTGCTGCTAGAGGTGGCAGGTTGAGAGGATGAGGCAGTTGGGAGGGGAGAAGAGGAAGCTTTCTCGGTAGCCGAGTCGTCATTATTGTTGGAAGCAGACTGATCCGGGCTGGAGGTGGTGGAAGTGTTGGTGACGATCTGTTTTGCAGCTGGTTTCGGAGTGGGCTCGTCCTCATCGCCAGAGGAGCCGGATCCAGAATGGTCACCATTCAGTAGCCGAGGACTTTCCGGAGAGGCAATAGGAGATTCACAATCTGGTCCGTCGTCTTGGTCCATCTTCTTCGAGCTGGTGTCTAAGTCACCGTTCTCCAGGCTACCGAACTCAAGCTTCTGAATGTGCTCCATCTGCTGCCGAATCAGTTCGGTTTGCATCTTGGCCTTTTTCTTCAGCTTTTTCTTCTTCGTTTTGCTCATATTTTGGCTAATTGGCTGCTCCTGAAATTGTGGCGGAGCAGCTGAAATCAACGAATACGGCAGCCGGCAACCCATTGTGTGCAGTTCCGTAGCTTCACAGGCCAGCTTTCGGATGTAGCTTTCATCTACGCATAGAAGCACATTCTCCGGTTTGATGTCAGTGTGAATCACCTTACACTTTGAATGCAGATAATCTAACCCTTCCAGCACCTGCCGGATGATGGATTTCACATTAGACAGCGGAATGCCCCGGTAGTTGCTCTTCAGAATCAACTTCAACAGGTTGTGGCCGAGCACTTCGAACACCATGCAGATGTGGGTTCCATTGACACCGGTTATCCGGAAATCGTTCAACAGTTGGACCGTCTTGTTCCGTTTAGGATCCGCTGGGTCGGCATTCCTGATCGATTTCAGAATCTGAATCTCGTCCTTGGCCGTATCGGTGAAATGCTGCGCCGATTTAACAATCTTTAACGCTACGTACCGTTTCTCCTCCAGATCCCAACTGAGCCACACCGTCGAAAAGTGACCCCACCCGAGTTTCCGGATGACATGATAGCGCTGCAGGAACAAATCTCCAAGCTTTACCGGATGATAGCCACCTCGGCAGTAATCCTCCCGGCATTCCTGTTCTCCTTCCCTCTCATCGCTGCTATATCCTCCGGCGTCGTCCAGCAGCCGCTCATCCGGATCGTCAATGCTCTCGTTCGAGCTGCTGTTCTTCTTGTTGCTGGTGCTTAAGCTCGAATACTGCTGATTGTCATTTACCGGAACCGGATTCATCTCATTATCGGGAGACGACACCTGACTCTCCTCCTGCGGGTGTTGAGCTGCTGCTGCCGCTGCGGCCGCCTGTTGTTTGGCCTTTTTCTTCGCTGCCTTATGACGCTTCTTTTTCGCCTGAATCGTTAGTACATGCCGATTGGTGTCGGATTTTGTGTTCATTTTTTGCCTTCCACACTGTTGTCGTCAATTATTTGCCCGTGTCCACAACACCACCAACCGCACACACACGCTCGCTTGCTCTTCCCTTCCGGATAGAGGTATCGATTCTCACTCTTGACAGGAAGTTCACTCGGCGTGCTGCTCAGCCAAATTTTTGCCAAACTATTATTCCTCTTTCGGACCTCGGTGTTTTCGCACACACCGCGCTTATGCAATCTGCTTCCAGCTTCTCCGAAAACAAACGCCACCGAACTAAAAAGCAAACAAAAAGAAAACCACTAAATCTCACAATTTCACGTACTTTTCCTCGAACAAATTCGGTTTGCGTACCACCTTAGTTCGAAAAAAGGAAGAAATCGTCCGGAATTTTCCTTCCCCTGTCAAAACTCGAGCTCAGAATCCACAAAGTGTGCGATGCGATGTTTGTGCAGCACCACTCACTCGTTCCGCAGAGGTCTTTCTTCTTTTTTGACAGCCAAACTCGACACACACCGAAAACGGTCTCCCCGTCTCTTTTACTCCCGAAAAATTCTTCTACTTCTTCGGTTGCTTTTCTTATCCTCCTTCGAACACTCTGATGCGTTCTTCTCGGATTCTACCAGAAGAAAAAAAAAAAAAGAAACCCTCTTTTGCTCTTCTTCAGAACGGATGAAAATCCTCCACTTTTATCACCAAACTTTTATCTCTTGTCCACTTGGCAGCCGTAGTAGGTGCTTCTAGCAAATTCGAATCGCATAAAAATTCTACCACTCACTCACTCACTTGCTTTGATTAAAACAAAAGAAAAAACTGATAAAAATGCGTTTTTTTTTCGGACCCGCGACGACCGAGAAATGAAAAACGAAAAACCATCACCAACCGCGCACACACTGCTCCGTCGTCGTCGTTGTCGCTTCACTGCCTATTTTTTTCGATTTTCGACGGATTGTTCTTTGGTTTGGTTGCTCGCTCACTCGCTCGGCTGTCGCTTGCACACGGTCGGTCGGTCGCCTCGCTTACTCGAACACAGTCACACCGCAGCAGGGCAGAAGGCTTTTCGGCGTTTCTTCTTTTCCCTTTTGACGCCGATGCGAAAAAGCATCAGAAAATTCGCGATCCGTTTGCTTGCTCGGCTACCAAGTAAAATGTCTACACAAACAAGAATGGCGAAAAATGTGCAGGGCATCTTCGGAATCCTGTTGGAAATTAGCCAAGACACGCACTTGTGTTGCTTAAAATATTTATACACTGGAGGAAATATGGCACGCAAGAGCGAAACAACTCAAAATCAGGCGATCTGCGGTAACTATACTCAAAAATAGTACTTAACGAATGTAGATTAAATTTTATGGTTTTTCAAAATTTATACATTGGTTCGATTAAAATTTTCGGCAAAATTATACTAAGTCCGGAAAACGGTGTGGAATTCGATCAGTGTTTACTAAAATGATAGGAAAAAGAACATCTGGATTCTCTTTGGAACTGCGTGCTGGTGAAGAGCTTCGTCCCGGCGGATTTCTACTGCACCTGTGTTCTGCTGGGCAGCTGGACAGCGCGAGCACGAGTTCATCCTAATGAACATTGAAATTGTAAGTATTTTTTTAAATAATATTCATAAAAAATAAAATAATTAAAAAACCTTCCTGAGACAATTTTAATTTTTATTTGAAAACAATAATATTTACCATAAATAAAATAAAGAAGCGAAAAATACATTCTCTCGAAAAAACCGTATCTATGCATTGTAACACGGAGAACAAATTATAGCAGACGCAATTATTTTTCCGGTTAAAATAACTATATTGTTCAATTGTTTTAGAGATAACCCGAAACTATAGTTGATTTGACTATATATAGAGGGCAACAACTATAGTCCATAGTTGGCTCCTCGGTTGGCTCAACTATATTTTTCAGTAGATGAACAAACGTCAAACTTTAAAATACAACTATGCTTTAGTTGATTCAAGAAAACTATTGTTAGTAAAGCAAAATTTTACAATGTTTATTAAACGAACTGCTCTTCATTATCGACATATTAAGTTTGTTTTGCTTCTTTATCGATCGCACGCAACTGCAAAATCATAAAAAAGTGAACAAGAACATTCAGCTTTGATTTGAACCGTGTTCATCTGCGTGAAAGCCAGTTATCTTATCGCCTGCTCTACGCATCACACCTATCCACCTACTCTCTTCTAAAGATCATTCTCTAGCTAATAAATCATCACACTAAAGCTTCATGTTAGCATTTCCAACCAACTCTGAAAATCGTTAACTTCGCGTATGAAGTAACATAAAAACACTTTGAATGTAACAACTCAAGGCGGGAGTAGCCGTCAACAATGCTGATGATGGTACAGCACGCAACAACCACCCTACTGCTTTCTCTCTGAGATGATCACGTTGGTCATGACGAGAGGAGCAACACAATAGTTGGGTAAAGAAGAACTGCATTATAACACACCATCGAATTTCTCTGCTGGTATCATTTTCGGCGGTCACCAGTGAGCCCAAATACACGAACTCATCGACCACCTCGATTTCGTCACCGTCAATCTGAACTCGGGGTGGGAGGCTAACATTGTCTTCCCTAGAACCTCTTGCTTTCATATATTTTGTCTTTGATGCGTTGATGGCAAGTCCAATCCGTCTAGCTTCAGCCTTCAGTCTGATGTACGTTTCCGCCATCATCTCAAGGTTCCGTGCCATAATGTCAATGTCATCGGTGAAGCCAAGGAGCTGGATGGACTTCCTGAATATCGTGCCACTCGTGTCTATCCCAGCTCTTCTGATCACACCTTCTAACGCGATGTTGAACAGCAGACACGAAAGTCCATCACCCTGCCGTAACCCCCTTCGAGATTCAAAGGGACTCGAGAGTGTCCCCGATACTCGAACAACGCACGTCACTCGATCCATCGTCGCCTTGACCAATCGCGTCAGTTTATCCGGAAATCCGTACTCGTGCATAATCTGCCATAGCTGATCTCGATCGATTGTGTCGTATGCGGATTTGAAATCGATGAACAAATGATGTGTGGGCACGTTGTATTCGCGGCATTTCTGCAGAACCTGCCGAATCGCGAAAATTTGGTCCGTGGTAGCGCGGGCACCCATGAATCCCGCCTGGTATTGCCCCACGAACTCTCTTGCATATGGTGACAGACGGCGGCATAGAATTTGGGAGAGTACCTTGTAGGCGGCGCTCAGCAGTGTGATCGCGCGGTAGTTGCAGCAATCCAACTTGTCGCCCTTTTTGTAGATTGGGCATACGACACCTTCCATCCACTCCTCCGGTAATATCTCCTCCTCCCAAATCTTGGCAATTACCCAGTGCAGCGCTCTAGCCAGTGCTTCACCACCGTATTTCAATAGCTCACTTGGTAGTTGATCTACACCAGTTGCTTTGTTGTTCTTCAGCCGACCGATCTCCTCCTCAACTTCTTGAAGATCAGGGGCCGGTAGCCTGTCGTCTTCTGCGCGTGCTCCAAGGTCTGTTGCCGTGCCACCTTCGTTTTCTGCTGCTTCACCGTTGAGGTGCTCGTCATAGTCCTGCTTCCACCTCTCAATCACCTCACACTCGTTCGTGAGAAGGTTACCGTCCAAGTCCTTGCACATATCGGCTTGCGGCACGTAGCCTTTGCGCGAACTATTTAGCTTCTCGTAGAACTTCCGTGTGTCGTTTACGCGGTACAGATTTTCCATCGCCTCGCGATCTCGATCTTCCTGCTGACGCTTCTTCCTTCGGAAAACCGAGTTTTGTCTGTTCCGCGCTTGTCTGTATCGCTCCACATTCAATCTCGTGCGGTGTTGCAGCATTCTCGCCCGTGCTGCATTCTTCTCCTCTACTAACAGTTTGCATTCGCCGTCAAACCAGTCATTTCTTCGGTCCGGAATCGCAGTACTACCTATGGTTGAACAGATGTCCCTCCAGCCATCTTCAAGAGAAGCTGCGCCAAGCTGCTCTTCCGTGGGTAGTGCAACTTCCAGCTGCAGCGCGTAGTCCTGGGCAACTCCGGTGTCCCGTAGTTGCTCAATGTTGGGTCGCGGCGTTCGACTTCGACGTGTGTTATGCACCGTTGAGAGTTTTGAGCGCATGCATACTGCAACTAGGTAATGGTCCGAATCTATGTTCGCACTGCGGTACGTGCGGACGTTGATAATGTCGGAGAAGAATTTCCCATCGATTAGAACGTGATCGATTTGGTTTTCTGTGTGTTGGTCAGGTGATCTCCAGGTGGCTTTGTGGATATCCTTGCGGGGGAAAAAGGTACTTCGAACTACCATACCCCGGGAGGCTGCAAAGTTCACGCATCGTTGGCCGTTGTCGTTCGATACGGCATGCAGGCTGTTTGGCCCGATTGCCGGTCTATACATTGCCTCCCGTCCTACCTGAGCGTTCATGTCGCCGATGACGATTTTGACGTCCCGTTGCGAACAGCCGTCGTACACCTGCTCCAGCTGCGCATAGAACGCTTCTTTCTTGTCGTCGGGTCTCCCTTCGTGTGGGCAGTGCACGTTGATGATGCTGTAGTTGAAGAAACGGCTCTTAATCCTCAACTTGCACATCCTCGCGTTGATCGGCTGCCAACCAATCACGCGTTGGCGCATCTTACCCAGCACTACAAAGCCGGTTCCCAGCTCGTTGGTGGTGCCACAGCTCTGGTAGAAAGTAGCCGCTCGATGCCCGCTTTTCCATACCTTTTGTCCCGTCCAGCAAAGTTCCTGCAGTGCTACGACTTCGAAGTTGCGTGGTTGAAGTTCGTCATAGATTAACCTATCGCAACCCGGGAAGCCGAGCGATTTGCAGTTCCATGTTCCGAGTTTCCAATCGTAGTCCTTATTTCGTCGCGTAGGTCTGTGCCGATTGTTCCGATCCGTATTTCTTTCTTCGGTATTTGCAACTTTGTTTTTTTCCAGGGCGGCTTGTTGGGCCTGCCCCAACCCCCTGTCTCGCCGGGGGACCATCGTGCACAGCTCTGTTTAGAGTCCCACGCTGGTACTAGGACGGTGATCAGCCGCTCCTAACATGGAGAACAGACGCCGTTTTGAGCCGCACCTCCATGGTGAGCAGACGCTCAGGTTTGGTGAAGCATTTCCTCTATCACCGTACTATGGTTACCGCGCCAGTGTTCGCGTCGCACCTCTTCACTTTGCTATTGCCGGACTGGCAACATTGCCCAGGCTACGCCAACCAGCTGTGTCCATGTTTCAGCTGGTAGTCTTTTGTTATCATATGACTCGAGGAGGCGTGAAGTAGGAACTTGTGAGGACCAGGGCTAGGTATTCCGCTCCTTCCAGGTTGTCAACTCACCATTTTGTAGCCCATGTATACATGCATGTATTGGTGGGAGGTGTCACTTAAAGCTACACACAGCAAAAAATGCACTGAGAAAATGCATTTAATTTGTTTTGTTATAATAAATGCACCTCAAGTGATCTGCCCCTAGTAATGAATGATGTTCAAAAAATTAAAAAAGTAAGAGGTTGTATTCAAGACTCGACCGTAGATTTGACGTAGGATTACGTGCTCGGTATCAATATTTGGCGACTATGTTAATGAAACCCGAGGGGAAAGCACTATTTTCAGGAAATCGGTGATAATTTTGATCACCATTGCAACAGTTGGACATTTGTGTAATTTTCAATAGTGACCTATTAAAAATTGATAAAATATTCATTTAAGCAGCTTTGTAGAAAAATTACCAATCGATAAGCTTGTTTAGAATTAAAATCCATCCGCTATTGACAGAGATATAAGTGGTCAAAACCTGACCACTTTTCGTAAAGCGGGCGATTTTGTTTTTTTTTAATTGCACCCCCAAAATGTTGCCGAAAGACGTAATCCTACGTTAAAATGAAATAGATCGGACTCGAACCATGAACGTTACCATTATTAGGCCTGTCTCTTCACCACTCGCCTGTCAATACTTTGGAAATTGACCAGACTAAAGGCATATAAAAGCGCTCATAGAACGATCAATCGATTTCGTCTGCCCTTTCTGTTATACCTTCTCACATGCACATCAGAACTACAGGCAGCAGCCCTAATAAAAAAATACCATAAACGAACATAACCCAAATAATAGAACTATTCTACACATGCCCCGAACACGTCGTTAAGCAAATTAATTATAAAAATTTTATTAGGGAATACGCACGATTATTTTTCCACTTAATATAAAGTAAAAACTACCCATCAAGTTCGTAATGAAGCAGTAGAATAATGTGATAGCAAACAGAGCCTTATGTGAGCTGTGTTGAAGAATGTTAGTAACAAATGTTTGTTGTTTTCAATCCAGAATATGTTTGCATCCTTAACGCTTACTCTTGTTTTTAGATTTGTGATTTATTTTATGTTTATTGATAAACCCAGGGATAAACCGGAAAAAAACTCTTCCGATTTTTTTAAAGAGATTAACTAGCCTACGATTAAAAGTTTGTGAAACAAAGAATTAAAAAAAAAACGATTTTTTACTTATTATTGAGTATATTCATATATACTCAAAGTTGGGTAAAATATACGTGGATTCTTTTACCCATCAGTGCACTATGAGCTGTTTACCTAATTTTAGGTACTTTTTACTAATCCGTTGAGTTCTTTTTTCTTACCGTGAAGCAGGACACCACCCATTTGCTACCAATCGGGAGCTGTCAAAACATAAAATAAAAATGACAAAGCATTTCTGAAGGGCACCGTTACCTCGGTTCATCGATTTTGTTGGCGCTCGACGACTTTCGTCGATTGTTATGCACCGGAATGCACTTTTGCTGCAATTGGATTCAAATTGGAGGGAAAACCGCGCTCTCGCCATCATAGTCATTCGTTCAACGAATGAAAAACTGTCAGAACTTTAAAAGCCCTTGCAAGAGTAAGATTAGTGACGCGCTCCATTTAAGTCTCGTTTTGCGTTTTAATATAAAAAGTTAATTACCGGCTAGTAATTAGTGAATCAGTGCAGAATGTCTCAGCCAACAGTTGCGGCATATTTTAACACCAGAAAACGTGTGGCAGCGGATGAACTGAATGCGACTACCCGCAACAAGGTATTGGTGTTGGAACACTCGACTTCTGGAGTAGGCTCGGAAAATGGCCGGGTGTTGGACTCTCCGAGTCGAGTTGTCTTTGCCAATACTAAAAATTTTCTTTCCAAGAATGTCATCGCCGATGGAAGCGAATCGTGTTCCGTTGGAACACCGGAGAGGAAGAAGATTACTCGGGCTACCCGGTCCATCAAGCGGATCGGTGCCGTCAAGGTGAACGAGAAGACGAAGGAGATGCTAGAGCAGCCAAAATTGGTGCGATTTTTGAAGATGGGAACTCTGTCCCCGAAGAAGGCATGTACTGCTCCGAAACAGGCAAACACTCCTTCGAAGGCGGAATTCTCCGCCAAGAATAACACCAGCAATGTTGAGAGAGGACTACACACACCGACGAAACAGGAGCCTTCGACGGTAAATCCGGGTAGGGCATCAAATCCCAGCGTCGTCAGCAAACTGACCATGGAGGAAACCAAAGGCAAGCTGAGCCGAAGTGTCCGACTGGCGGAATTGAAGACATCCTTGAACAAACTGCAGAGTGGATTCGATCGACTAGATCGGCTGCAGAAGACCCGACAGGAGGACAACTGGAAGCCTCCGGTGCCACCGAGTCCGACCACAGCGGCTCGGAACTTGAAACAGTTCGAGAAGTTTGAGGTGGAGGTGCCAGTAAGGTGAGTTTTTTTTTCTTTATTTTTTCTAAGCTTATCAGCTGATCAAGGGCATTAAGGTAAATGAATGTTTGTATTTAGGCACATAAGCAAGTGCTGCGTGGCAATGAATGCATTATTCATCAATACGTATTAGAAAAGTAGACGTCCTATCTGGTAATCTTATCGGTATTACACACACTGATTGAACACTGACATAATTATCATGTGTCGCGTGGGAGTATTTGTTCCGCTTTGATTAAAAGTGCATTCATGCATACATTGAACTTGTTCCAAAAATAAGTAACTATGTCTATGACAAGAAACATACTTTGATGTTGGTCTTTTTTTTTTGTTTTTTTTTTTTGAGAGATTTGCGTCATTTAGCTCACACTCGTTTATCTATCTTCATTCCCTTTCAGCCCCCAAAAACCGTTCGCTTCTCCGATCAAGACCCAACACCGCACTCCGACCAAAGCGAACCACAGTTCGCTGATGTCCCCCCGGAAACAGCTTACTCCAAAACGTCTCACCAGTTTGATGAGTCCTATTAAGGAGCCCACTGCTACGCCCGTCACTGCCAGTCCAACTAAGGTACCAGCCTATCAGCGTTTCCAGACGCTAGTTGAATCCGGCACACCGTCCCTTCTGCTCCCGTACAAGTACCGCTCCCTGGCTGAGCTGTTCAAGTGCATTGACACCGTGTGCGCCATGTACTACAATCGCAAGGAGCAGGTCACTTTCAAGAAACTGAAACCAGCGGTGCAGCGGATGGCACGCAAGAATTTGTACGAAACTCATCTCGCTCAAATCAAAACACTCTTCCCAGATGCGTTCGATTTCCGCCAGGAACTGACCAAGAATTACGGCTCTGCAACAAAGCATGAAACCTATCAACTTGTCATCAAACCTAACGTTGAGGAAAAAGAACTGCCGAAGTCGCTTGACGAAGACGCCAATTTGATCAGAAACGCTCAGAACCACTCCATGAATCCTCAGGTTATGATTGAACGTTTTCAAAAGTTCAACAGAATTTTGCTTGCCAGAACCAAGGAAGCGCATGAAAAGTTCCTACTACAATTGGATCCACCCGTAATAATCCCAAAGCACAAACTGAACCGTTGGCATCCGGAGTTCAATCTGGAAAGTTGCCCAGATGTAGAACTGGGTGAGATTGCACAACCGCCGAATGTAGAACGTTTTTCCTCGGCAAAGGACGTTCTTTCGACCGCCAGAAACCTCTTCAACTGTGGCACGGCAATGGACCGGGCACTGGAACGTCTGGAGGTGAAGAAGCGCGAAAATGCAGCAGCCCAAGGAACCATCACCGCTACAAACCAAACTCCATCGAGCGCCAACAGCCAGGAAGACACCACCAAGAAAAAGACTGAAAACCCCTTCCAATCCGCGTTGAAAAACGTCCCCCAGTCCCTGTTGGACAAAATCCGTGCCAAACAGGCCGCCAAAGCACTAGACCAAATGACCCGACGACCTTCGCAAGAAAAGGAAGCGATCCAATACTCGCGCCTGCCGGAGATAGCACGCCACCTACGGAACGTCTTCGTAACCGAGAAGAAAAATGTCCTTCCCCTAGAAACCACCCTGTTGAAGATCGAAAACAGCTACCGCGGTCGGCTGTCGATTAAGGAACTGGAAGAACACCTCAAGCTGATTGTCGAGATTGCACCCTGCTGGCTGTCGCTCGCCGAGGCCCGCAAAACCATGTATGTGAAAATTGTAAAAGACTGCGACCTGACCAAGGTTATTGACCTGCTGGAGAAGAGGGCCAGCGACAAGCTCAAATGTTAGGCTGCTTTTATTTGTCATTGTCTGTTTTATTAGGTTACATTTTACACGATCGTAATTCAAATTCTACTCCATATTTACGGCTTCATTCAGATCAACTCACTATCCATTGCTTTTATTTTAATTAAAAATAGTTCCTTTCGTTCGCAACTAGATTATAGAATTTACATTATAGTGTGTTCGTGTGTTTCAAATGATATATTAATTCAAGGGACATAGATAAATGACGTAGCATATTTTTGAACCCCCCTCGTAGCGTATTGTGCTATACTTAATACATGGCCGGGCACAACTTCTGTAGACCCCTCTAAAATGCTACGTCATTTGTGGATCGCCCCTGACTATACGCTACTTTGACCAAACTTTCTTTTTCTTTAGAATTATATATGAAATTCCCTATAAGGATTATTACTTTTATTCGTTCTTTTACTTGTCTAGCATAAATCTGTTTTCCCAATTGTTACACTACATTATCTAATGATACATACAATGAAATAAAAGCAAAATTTGCTGAAATTGGTTTGTTTTATTTAAAAACAGAATGCAATTCGGTGGGAATCTAAGGATTGACTAGTTCTTTAAAATGATGGTCCGTCAGTTGCCCGAAACCCATTCGCCAGAATGTAGCATTGCCCGGAATAAAGGGTGCTACGACCAAAACTTGGTCAAACAAGAATGCGTGTAAATTGATTGTTTATTAGAAAAATCAAATTATTTGTCTTTAAGTTCAATTAGTATAAAATACTGAAAAAATATTCAGCTAAGCTTCCGTTTGACCGAATCCGAATTGCCGGGCCTTTCGTTTAACTCCTGTCATCCGCAGAACACCAGTTTGCCTTAAACTGCTTCTCGCTTCCAACAGTTTTTTGGGTCTTCTCAAGGTTCTGCTTGACGATGACCCAATATTTTTCGATTGAGTGGAGTTCTGGCGTGTTGGGAGGGCTCTTGTCCTTGGGCACCAACTGCACGTTGTTAACGGCATACCAGTCCATGGCCTTTTTTCCGTAATGGCAGGATGCCAAATCCGGCCAAAACAGCACGGAACAATCGTGTTGCTTCAGGAAAAACAACAGAAGTTTTTCCAGACACTCGTTCACGTAAATCTCCTGGTAGACGGTTCCGATTGCAATGAAAATGTCGCTTTTCAAGCCTGCCAAACCAAATATTTCTTAGCAAACTTCGACAGTTCATATGCAGGGCTGATAGCGGGTCACTTTTTAGTGGCTTTGTCACTTTTTTTATGGTGGTCACTAAAAAGTCCCTATTTTCGACAAAAAGTCACTAAAGTCACTTTTTTCGCCATTCTCGCTTGAATTGCAATGTAAAATTCGTTACAGTACTACAGTACCTATGCTTAGTTCTTAGTTGGAAGTTCATTAAACTAGCGAACGAAAAAGTACGCAGAAGAAACCAAGACGATACATCATCAAAGCACACTTTTATTTGCGATTTCGCACCTTTGAGGAGTCCAGTTTCAACTGCAAAAGTAAATAATCAGAGAAATCGAGATAACCGGAAAATACCGGAAATGTGTTGTCACCGGGATAAGCTCGTGAACTGCGATGCCAAATTAAAATAAAATGTGCTTCTTCCTCTTTTAAAAAATCTCAAGACCCTTGGAGTGCACTAGATTTTCAGGGTACAGTTACTTTGAAGAACTATTAATTTTAGCCTAGATTCTAGAGATATGTTATACCAAGGTACTTCGGACAAAAAAGTTCTAGGGAGTATACGAGGGCTATGACTAGAGCTTCAAGTCAATTGTGTGGGATCAGTGTTTTTTTTTAAGTTGCTCTGTGAAACATTTCTTGGGTACAAATTGGACTAGGAACTAGTTAGAAAGCATTTCCAGATAAAATTAAGGAGAACTCCATGTGAATTTTCAGTAGAACTTAGAGGAGAACTCCAAAACAATTGAGATTAAAAAAAAGTTATGAGAACTCAGAGGTGAACAGCATGGAATTTTCAAAGAAGCGGAATTCCTTAAAAAGTTTATAATTCAAAGAGAATCTATGGACGAATTTCATGACTTTTTTAGTGTTCTTCAGAGAATTTCTGCACTGTTATAAAGAAAATTCGCGGCACTCCCAGAGAAAAACTCGAATTTATTTTAGAAGAATTCTATAAAGAACTTTATAAGGGGTAATTCTTTTGAAATAAATACTTGAAATCAAATATAATCCTGTTAAGCTCTGTAAAGCTTCTCTGGAACTTTAAATACGGCAAGTTGAAATTTACAATTCCAATATAATATTCGTTACAAAAAATATAAGAAACTTATTGTAACTAAAATCAAAAACTTCATCAAAAAGTAGCTTTTGGTTTTATATATAGTTAATCTACTGATTGGTCTAGGTTAAATTTGAATCCAGATCTCTAAAATTTCATCAAGTTCATGTACCTGATGAGTTTAAATTTTTATTCTTGTCTATGGCCAAAAAATCTTAACCCTTGGATCATTTTCGTCAATGTCCTAGAACTCTATTTGTGTAGGTAATTCTGAGTAGAATTCCAAGGCAACCTTGAATAGGATTCAATACAAAATTTAATGAAAATTCATAACAGCTTTTGACGTTAATTCTTAAGGAATTATGAGAAAATTTGAACGAGAAGGAGGATTACACCATGATCATTCTGAGGAGAACTTCAAGATAATACAAAAGAGAAATCTAAGAATATTCTAAGGACAATTTAGAGAAGATTCTGGGACAAAAGGAATCCGGAGCATATTTCCATGTGAGTTTTCGGAGAATTCATAGAAGGTATATTATGGAGGATTACAATTAAATATGAGTATTATTAAGTCACGAATGACCCAAGAGTGTTAAAGTGACTATAATAATAAAAAAAAATCTATGAGTATTATTCCTATCGAACCTCACTCAAATGAGTTCGGGTAAAAATTCCAAGAGGGTTCTGACAAATTTTGTGGAGAAATCTAAGAAGAACTGCAAGTCATTTTTTAGGTGAGAATTTCATAATTGTGAGATGAATTCCAAGGAAAGGAGCAATATTCAATGGTTATTCTAAAATATGTATATTCAATGAGAATTTCTTAGAAATATCCTAAGAAAATTCTGAGCTAAATTTCAAGTGGATTTCGAGGAGTAATCTAAGGATATTCCGATGTTTTTTTGCAGAGATTTTCAAGAAAAATCCCAGCAGCATTTCGAAGAATTTTTGGGATTTCCTAGCAGAACTAAAAAATTATTCCTAAGATAGTTCCATGGCAATGACAGGATAATATTAGGTAAATTCTTAGGTGAACTCCAAGAGAATTTTCAGAAGAAATCTTCAGGTAATTCCTAGCAAGAATTATTAATAATGTAATGAGCATTGCAAAGTTAATTAAAACTGTTTTCGAAAGATGTTGTAATATTTTGTACGTTTAAGCTCTATGACCCTTTCCTTCCCACGGTAGCACCGGGGATCTATAGGTTTTTGGTCCGTCTTACGATTAGCATTACAGCTTAAATTAGTCAGCATTGATTTAAGTTTCTCTTGTGCTCAATATTCCCCTTTATATATTTATCTCACATGTTTCTAGAAGGTTTACCAAAAAAAATCACGGCAGAACTATGATTTGTAAATTTCCCGCATCTTGCAGTTCTTTTTGTAGAATCATTTATCTAATATCTGTATTGAAAACTTTCTTATTTCCAAAAAATTAAGATTATTTGTAAGCCTGTCAAATGTCAAATGATCCAAAATCTCGCCAGGGATCTTGTGAATTGAAGTTCAAGGATTTTATGAATTCCTGGTATCTTGCACAAACAATTTCTATCACTTATGTCTTATTATATTTTTTTTAGGTTATAAATTTAAAGGTTGAACACGAAAAAAAAATACGGACACATTAAAAATGTTGCCATAACATTCATTTGTTGAGATTTTTTTTCAGTAATTCAAAAATTAGATCTGGTAATTTATATCATTTAATATTTTAAAACGCCATCTCGACGTTTCATTCCTCATTTCGGAAATAATTCTATTAATAAGGCAATGTCTTATTATTAGGTAACTAAGCAAACGCGGAGCACCTTGTTGATGCAAGTTTGCAGATCGCATAGAGATCATCATAGTTCATATCTAAAAAGCGTGACCTGTTAGAGAATAGATTTATTCTAGATTTTAATTCAGGAGACCATAAGAATTTCAAATATGGTAAAATATCTCTGTTATTGAAAGTCGTGTTACACAGTGGTGTTAGTTTTTAATCTAGTTGTGCAAGATCTTGCAATGTAAACTTTAGACAAATGCGTACAGATACGCATGACTACCTGAAAGTTTTCTGATAATGTTTAAGTCGCATTTTGGTAACTTTTTAAAATGATTTTAGTCACTTTTTAAAATTATTTTAGTCACTAATTCACTATTTTTATTGCTTAACACTGCTATCAGCCCTGCATATGCTTCTGAGTAAACTTCGTATACAGATAAGGTTTCTCAGAATACCGATTTTTGAGTTTAACACGCTATTTCAAAACTACCCAAATTTGGGTAGAATTCACCCAGATCGGTCAAAACTGAACCTACCCAAAAATGGGTAAACTGTGTTGGGAGTGACCAAGTTGACAAATGAACAAAGTTGATCGGATTCATGTCGATGTTGTTCATTTGTCATCTTGTCACTCCCAACACAGTTTACACATTTTTGGGTAGGTTCAGTTTTGACCGATCTGGGTGGATTCTACCCAAATTTGGGTAGTTTTTAAATAGCATGAATACCGATTTATACCGATTTTTTTTAATAATCAAAATGATTACTGCTCGCACGCACTGAAACTATTGTGAGAGGCTTATATCTTTTTAAATATTCAGTTTTGAGCCAGCTCTAAAAAATGTCTTATGATTGATACTCTTTCGACTAACACTTCCATTTCCTCGCCTTTTTTGGCCACCAAGGGGTCGAAAAACAGTTGATGGCGCATCCCGGTAATTCCTAGAAATCGGGAAATACTTTTATCAACAATCAATACGAAACTAACGATTTTAAATTGGCTCACTACTTGACTAGCCTATTGGTCCCAAGCAAACGTTTAAAGTACCCCATTCTAGTCGAAATTCTACTACTACACAATGTTTGTTTTACGACTGAGCCTAGTAAATAAACGAACTAGTAAAAAAAAAAAAAATGTTTGTTTTGATTCGCTATGAAAGTTTGACAGATAAAATGAGGGATTAGTGGATTTTCCCATGTTTCGAGGGGTGAATCGATTAGCTTGGGACCGAAGAGAGTACCAGAGCTGAGTCAAAACAGAAGAGCACGTTATTTCGGGACCTTCTTGTCTTAGAGTTACCTCTATGCTTTTATTCAGTGAACAAATAAATCCTGAAATTTCTCTAATCTTCCCTTCGAAGTTTCTTCCAACTTTCCCTAGAATTTTTCGTCCACCTTACCTTGTAAGTTATTTTACAATTCCTTCCGGAAATCTATTTCGACTTCCCTTAGAAGCTTCTTCTGGCTTC